AGTGTTTGACATATTGCTTCAAGACTGCTGGAAATATACAAGAGAGACAAAGTATGCATAGTTGGTTCTCATCAGTGTCATCACTCCATTGTTGAGACACCACCACCATAACACATATGACACTCATGTCCAACACCTTCACAGACAGCAATAACACAACCAGCAGCACTGGGATCAAATCCTGCATCTGAATCTTTGCCACAGTTATGAAGTGTGTCATCTTGTATTTACTCTGTATTTCCATTTCCTTTGTGAATGGAACACAGTATATTGATGCAATCTACCCTTGCATTAAACCCAATGGTGAGAAAATTTTTGAATATATTTGTTTATCCTCTTATGAAGTGATACATTCATGCTGTGTAAGATGGGACACTAACATTTTGCTATAAAAATGCATTGTAAGACATCCTTGTAAATAAATACAAAAGACATTTTACACAAGTTACATCATGTGTTTTGCAACAAATTCATCAAATTGTAAAAAAAGAAAATTTTGGCATTTTTGAATTGCATAAGTTTTCTGTTTATGGCAGCAGACATACCTAAAAAGGCTTCTCCAATAAATAAGGCTATATACAGTGAGACCCCAATAAGATACAGACATAATTGGAGCATCAAGAGTGTCCTGATGTCAGAATTTCTTCAAGTCAAGTCTCATTTTCCCTCAGACTTCAATGCTGATGTATTTAATTGGTTCTCCTTTTTATAAAAAATTAGAAGTCCCACAAAATGTTTTTAAACATTGTTACCCTCAACTTCAAGTTGTAGAAAACAACAGTGCAGAACAAAACCACATAGAATCTGATATTTTTGTATGAAAAGGAGATCAAAAAGCAAAGAAAAAGAGTATAAGTCTTGCTAGAATATGCTCAGAGGATTAAAAAAAACTCTCAAAAGAGGAGCAAAAACTCATGAACTCCACTATTATAAATGGAAGGCAGGGGTCCTATTGGAGTTGAAGACAAGGATGCCATGCAGGAAGTGATACCAGTGATGCAAACCCCAAAGATGAAGGGCTCCAAGAGGTATGTCCACAGAGCAGAGCGCATAATACTCAAGAAAAATGCACCAGTGCTGATGGAAGAAGATGTCAAGAATGACATATGGCACTCCATAAGTCCCCATCAAGTGAGTCATCATTCCATCATGTATTTATCCTTTCATTCATTTGTTCATAATATTTTCATGGTCACTTCAAATAGTGTGGAAAGAGGCATCTTTGAGCATTTCTTGAAACAATGAGAAAGTCCTATATACCAACTCTCCGAATTATTGGGAAATACCATTCAAATCTCCAAATATACCTCAATTTTTGTTCATTGCAGCTCCTGAGTTGCTAGCTAATATTCACTTGGCACTAGCTCCCTTCTTTAATTTTTGCTAACACCTGTGCTGAAAGCATTATATATACACCCAGCTGACTGCAGCTCCTGAGTTGCTAGCTAGCATCCAGTTGGTGCTAACTCCCAAGCTAACTCCCAAGCTAACTCCCAAGCTAACTCCCAAGCTAACTCCCAAGCTAACTCCCAAGCTAACTCCCAAGCTAACTTCCAAGCACCCCACTAACAGCAGCTAGCTGGAATACTAGTTGATACACAGATGGGTGCATGTCCCTGATTTCCAGAGTTGAGGTTAACTGGATGTTAGTTGCTTGGTAGTTACTTAGCCCTAACTCCATATATAGTTTTTGGGAGTTGGATTTTCCTATAGGAGTTGTCTCCTAACTTGATAATAGCTAAAAAATGAACACCTAGATAGTTGAAACTTTCCAAGTCAAATTTCAAGGGACCAGCAAACAAATTTGACTTAGTGAAGTTTTGAATTTTAGAGGTTTGAGCAAAAATTCTTTGGTTCTGAGAAACATTGAAAAATATTCCAACCTTTTGTAAATGGTGTTATTCTGGGCTTTAAATTGCTTCTTAAGTGAGTTGAAAGGATGCTGAACTTGGAAGGAGGGGTTCATTTGCCCAATTAAGTCTTTTGCTTCCTTTTAAAATACATCAATTTATGTCTTTATTGATTTTTTCTTTCTTGTGTCAAGGAAANGCATTTACTAACTTCAGATTAATGTTCCAAAATAAGCAGAACATGGGTTTATGGTAGCATATCCAAAGTTGTTGACTCTGTGAAATTACCATAAATAGGTGCACTCATCTGTCCCTGATGAGGAACCATTGTGGAAGAAGCTGGTGGAATACCTGGAGACCATGCAGCAGCAGAAGCCTGCAGAAAAGAACCCACCTGCTGCTGCTGCTGCCACCATCACAGCAGATGACCCAGAGCAAGAACTCTGGCAACACATAGAAAAGTACATCAGGTACTTGCACAAGAAAATCAGGAAACAGCGCTTGGCTCTCAAAAAACTTGCCAAGTACAAAGCCTTCCACAAAAAGTACTCCCCACTAATCCAGACCAATAAGAGGCACACTAAAAGGGACAAAGGCAGCACTTTCAACTCTACAACCACCAGCAGTGCTGCCATCTTGCCAACTCCTCCTCAACCTCAGGCCTGCTTGATTCAATTCTTCACTCCTTGCAGCAAAGTGAAGAGCAGCAATGACACAGACCCTCCTGCTGGCAACAATAATAATGCCATGATGACACCATCTCCAAATGAAAAGTATTCAGACTCTGGTCCTCTTTTCAACTTGGCATATTCTGAGGAACAGCTGGATCCCTTATTGTCTGAGGAAGATTATGATCCTTTTTGGTGATAAATACATTCCCTCCATGTTTACATCCCACAGTCAGTATCATGGTAATATATAATGCTAATGGTGGATTGAAACTCAAGTTTAATGCCTTTTTATTCTTCATCACAGGGTTATGTTTATCCCATTCATCAAGGATGGGAAAGTGTCATTACCAGCAGTCTTTATGGCTCATCTGTGTTGTGTTGTACATGATGAACTTGAAAATGCATGCAGGTGATGGGTCACCCATGCACATTGGAATGCAGGACCATGCTTATGAGATGCTGTTGTCCAAGCATGACCCATGGTCAGGTATAATCATTTCCAGCTTTAACAAATATTGTACTGCATATACAGTAAAATCTCATTGCAACAAACTTGCAGTGGGGACTTCAGAAAGATTTTGTTGTAATGAATAATTTGTTATAATGAGATTTTCAAAATTTTTGACTGGGAAGATTGCTTGAAATTAAACCTTTACTTTTTAAAGATCTTATTTTTGTGGCCTTTTCAGATGTTTTTCCATGTTTGAAAAAATGTAAACATTTACTCTGAATAACAGGTGAATGCTAACACTTTTTGTGGACTTGTAGTTTTTCAAGGCAAGTTTTTTTTCAGCACAGATTTTTGTAAGGGTGGATGATGGTTGCAAAAAAGCTTACAGTTGTTATAGGCATCAGTTGGGTTTCTCAAGCATCCAAACCCCTTTTGAACATGACTTTTGCTTGGTCATTTTTTTTCATCTAAACCCACATCTTTCCTAACTCAGGAACCCATTTTTGAAAGAGATGATGTTCAGGTGGAAATTTTTTGATTCACATTCTAGGTTTGTCCCAGGAACCAGTCACAGTCACTTTGTCAAAGGGAAATTTGAGGCTATGCCTGCCTTCATTAAGAAAATTACAACCTTTTCCTTAAAAAAGAAAGTGTGTTGTATGAAATTGGGGAGTTTGTTGTAACAAGACTTCTATAAGATTTACTGGATAGAATTTCTGCCAGGACTTGGAAAAAAGTTTATTTTACTGAACAATTCTGTAAACAAGTTTTTTTGTAATGAGATTTTACTGCATATATGTACTTTTAACACATGTTATTCCATGTGTGGTCATTGTTTTTAGACCCACAGTTCCTCAGGGCATGGAGACAGCCCAACAGGAATAAGAGAGGCAGAGTGCGCAGGGACAGTGACCAAAGTCCACAGTCTCCATCAGCAGCAGGTGCACCTGTGCCCA